TGGCAAAGTGTATGCTTATTGGAAGGATGTCCAAACTCCATTTCCTTTCCTAAGAAGATAGCTGCATCCCGTCTTTCTGTATTATACAAAGAACTCTTGTAATCCAAAAAGGGGGTTCTATACATAACCTGTCCATTGCATAATCTCACTTAGTGCTTAGTTCCCCCCCGCCATAAAATATGATAGAAATTAGCACTATTAGCTAATGTCTATATAAAAGGGACAACTTGCAAGACTATGACAGCACATGTAGAGGAATGGGGACTGGTAAACAGACTGAATCAGACTGCTAAATAAAAAAGGAATCTTTGAAAGGTGAAATGTATTCTTTGGTGACTGCCCAGTGCAAAACCTGCTTCAAGCCCAGGACAAAGCCACAGTGAGAAACTGTGCTGTGTGTGGGAGTGTTAACTTAGGCTTTTGCTGTGTACCTTTTTAATGCATTCACATTTTGAACATAATGTTGCCCATCATAGAGTGAGGAAGAGAACAATTATTTATTTTTGGAAAAAAAATCTACTCTCAGAATAGGCAGGTGGGTTCACCAAATGCACAGTCTATAATTACTTGCATAGATTTAAGCGTTAGGATACTGAATGGCTCATTATTTAATCTAGCAAGATTCATTTGTTACAAGTCTAAGAACTGTTGGAATAAATTGATCCCAGTTATGTTCCAAAAATAAATAGGATGGAAAAGGCCTTGGGATAAGGGGTTGATATGACCACAGGGATAAATTCTTCTGCTGCTAAATTGGAGATTAGCAGTTGGTGGCCTCTGAGTCAGGTTCATCCTCCTGAGTGGTACCGCCCAGCTTTCTTCTTGTGAAACTAAAGGCAACAGGGAATTACATGAAGGGGCCAGAGACTGCATCCTTACAGCATTCTGATAGCCCAGATTGGGAAGTAGAAACAGGGCTCTGTCTCCTCCTGAAAGTGCCATCCAGTGAAGCAAATTGCTGATTAAGACTGCATTTACCCTCCTCCATGGTGCTCTTGTTTGATCATATTTTGTGTTCCGACCACATTCTAACACACAATGAAATTAAGGAGTCTTTGAATACCAGGACCTGGATAAAAATACCATTATAATGTTCTTGACCAACCTTCTGCAGCAGTGCAAATATGATGTATTTGGTTGGTCCTTGTGAGAATTACATTGTGAGAATTAATTAGAATTGCATTCATTACTTTGTCTTAATCTGTTAATATGGGGGTAGGAAAAAGAAAAATCCTTCAGGTGTTTGTTAGTAAAAAGATTTATTGTGAAAACATTGTGTAAAAACATTTAATTAAAAAGATAAAGTAGTGAGGATACACAGGCGTATCCATTTTTCAGGCATGTTTATGGAGAACTTACACAGCTCCCTATGGAAATATGATTAAAGTTGGCCATTGCATCCAGTGTTGAAATGTCTACTTTAAAATAACATAGGAAGGATCCTAGCAAGCTTATGCACAGAATGTGGGTTTTCATCTAGCCCAAATAAATGTAGTATGGCCCACTTGTGTGTGAAATATTTGTCAGCCTGGATGAACCCTAAAGTTTGCAGAAGTTTTAAAAAGGCGTCAAAAATGAAGGTGGACCATCATTCTGCTTGGTAGTACAGAATATTATAGGTCTGTTTGTAGGGAGAAAACTGGGAGAACGGAATTAATATTGTGAAAGAGCATATTGCTGGCTAGAACATAGAATAGGAGCATTTTGCTGCCACAAGTCCCCCTTGTGTCAATAGGAAGTCCAAGTGACTTGCATATCCCCTTTTTCCCTCATGCAAAACCACACTAACAAGGTGGCAGTAAATCAAGATTGTCCTTCTAGCAAAATGTTTGCAGAGCAGGCACTCTGAATTATTAACATATAGGGATTGCTTTATAACATTATCTGACCGTTCCTGAGCATTTAAAAAAATACTTAGCAAGTTTTAGCATATAAAAATGTTCGGAGTGCATCTTCAAAGACTTTTTGACATTGTTCTGTTCTTAAAAGTGAGCATTCACACTGCTCAGGGCAACTTCGAGGCAAGATAGCCATGAAGTGATAATATGGAAATGAACAGGTTTTTTATTATTATTTAAGTATATAAAAATAAAGGGGTGTCTAGGGAGAGCCTTTGCGGGCTGTGAAAGCAAAGCAGAGAGGAGAAGAAGAAAAAATATATAAGTGAATCTGTCAGAGTCTTGGTAGCTGAGTAGCCTGCAGTCAGTTCTGCCATTGTGAACAGGGGGCTGCCAAACAGAAGAGTTTAGGGGCATGAAAGCGAAATGAAAGAAAAACAAAGGAAAGGACCGCTACTGTTATGACCGATAACTCATCATATCACTGCGTTGTGCTGGTAATGCACACTAATAAGCTGGTTTTGAAAGGGAATCGGGAAGCAAAAGTGAAATGGATTCATTCTCTTGCTTGCATTTCAGAGGTTAGATTTTGTTGTTGTTTAATGTAAAGTATTAAAAAATATCAGCTGCATGCAACAAATGCCAGTGGCTAGCCAGCTGCCATTTTAGGCCTATTCCCCCCCCCTTTTTTTTAAATCATCTGTTAGACTGGCCTTAGTCTGTGGCTTAGTTCATAACTCCTTTTCTTGAGGTAAACTCTTTTTCTGTTTAATGAAGATATATGTGTGTCTGGGGATGGGAACAGTTCTGTTACTCGGTGGGCTAGGATCTGGGATTTCTGAGGGAAAATAGAGATACTTAAGAAATTTTCTCTTTAACTTTAAGGATGGAAGACTCAAAACAGCTGTGGAGAATCAAGGCATTAATTAGAGTGTATAAAATGGAGGTTAAGGGTGCTGCACACTCCTTGTTATGAAACTATATGACCTTGTAAGATTTTGCTCTTCAGTTGCAGTTAGATCATACTTCAAAAACAGCGCTTTATTAAAGTCCATTCAAGGGTGAGCTGAGGTAAAACATATTGTTAAAAAAAAAGCTTTTGACAGAATATGCTATATATTTTAGCCTGCCTCAGTGATTTCTGTCACTTTTTATACTACACATTGTATTGTTTAAGAAACATTAAAGGTCTAGACTTCTTTTGTCACATTTAGTCTCAAGAAAGAATAATTTAACTATGGGAAGTAATAATAGGAGCATTGATGGTTGAATCATCTTAAGAACTGACATAAAACACCCTTTTCTCTCCGCCAAATGCTTCAGTTTCTGAGTTGATATTCAGGGACTCTTCTTAGTCTATAGTCTTGGTGTATAATATTGGTATGATTTCCTGCTAGAAAACATCTAATTGTGTCTCTTGGTCTTCTGGAACAATATATAGTATTTGGGATCAGCAGGTGGCCCTTGCAATTTGATGTTCTAGGTGGGGTAATGGTGAAGAGAATCACCCTTCACCAGAAATCTTAAGTTGTATCATTGAGATAAATTGTTAAATTTCCTAAAGTAGATCTAATAGCTCGCTGATACTGGATTTTCCAGCTGGTAACATTCTTCATGTTCGCTTAATGCCTACCTTGGCCAACACTTTGTTAGGATACAAGGAGTCTTACGGGGCAGTATCATTTACCTGGCTTCCCTGTTTATCCGTTGACTAGTTTTTATTTCATAAAGTCTTAGGGTCTGCCCATATAGACAGTTGCTTATTTATGTATGGGTACAATTAGATTAAATGATGTCAGTCAGATTCAGGGAGGAGGACAGGGTGTGAGTCTTCATACAGGATACACAAGGCATTCAGACAGTTGTTCGAGCCTTATTTCTGCCAGCCTGGAGAGCAGGCATCCAGATTTTGGTGTGTACATGGCTAGGACATGCCTGTAAGTCAGGGAAGGGCAACAGAGTAGCATGTATCATAGGGCATCATAACCCACCCCCATTGATGAGTGGAGAAGCCATTTGGTCATTCAGCCATATTCATTCAGGTTCACTTCCATTCATTCATTCATTCATTCATTCATTCATTCATTCTGTCTTGAAAATTCTAGGGATTGCATCTGTAGTCAGCATGTGTGGCATATTCCATAGATCACACACTAGAGGCTTGATGGCAGTATCCAACTACTGCTGGACAGTGGCTTTTTTTTCTTTTTCGGTTAGCTGTTTGTGCAGAGGACATCAGGTAAAATTATAGCTCCTCTTTGTGGCTGCCAGGAATAGCTAGCTGCTTTGGGAAATGGCATACCTAATTTCTGAATCTGGAATTTAGCTGTATCTAGGAAGTTGCTAGGATCTGAGTCTCACAGTGGAAGTGACCCTGTTTAAGATTATGATGAAATGTTTGCATTGTGTGTCCAGGGATGCCAAAATCCAGAAAGTTTCAGCTTGTTCATACCTGCCATTTAAAAAATTCCAAAGCAGGAATGCTTTTAAAAGTTTCATTCAGTTGTTGAGAGGATAAAGCAAGAGTAGATTAGAAGCACAAACAAGACTGTTAAAAATTCTGGCTTTTCTGTATTGAATGATGAGCTCTGGTTTGAATACTTTTATATAGAACCTACTTCAAATGTGGCCCAATAAGGACATTTGACTGGCACATAGAAGAACTGTATTCTAAGCCTGCCTAGGGTGGTCTTGGCAACAGTAGAGAAACAGAGCTGGCAATGGGTAGGAATGGTCGGGCAACTGCCAACTCATGCCTTAGCAGAGATTTACTGTAAAGAACCCATGGAGTTACTCCTTCTTCTCATTGTTGCAACCTGGTTGTTCACCTGCTTCTTGCATTGGCTCAAAGTTTTCAGTGAGAAGGAGGATCTCAAAATAATGCTGCCCACTTGCTCACCGGATCTCTGCTTGCTAGCAAGTTGTAGCAGTGACGAGAAAGAGGTTGAGGAGCCATAGCAGTTGATGACAGTCACTGAGAGGGAGGCCCCCCACTGCTTAAGAGCCTTTCAAAACTTGAAGTTGGCATGGCATATGAGCCTACCGAGCCTACCATATAACTCATATCATTAGTCCATCTAACTCAGTATTGTCTGCAGTGAATGGATTTCTCAGTGTGTTTCTTTTCTAATAATTCTCCCTCTTTCTCTCTTTCTTCTGTAGGTAAAGATGAGCCTTCAAGCTATATTTGCACAACTTGCAAGCACCCTTTTAATAGCGCTTGGTTCTTGCTTCAACATGCCCAGAACACGCATGGATTCCGCATCTACCTGGAAACAAGCCCTTCAAACAGCTCCCTTACTCCACGCATCACCATCCCTCCTCCTCTGGGACCCGAGACTGTTGCACAGTCCCCGCTGATGAATTTTCTTGGTGACAACAACCCTTTTAGCCTCTTACGAATGACAGGTCCAATCCTGCGTGAACACCCTGGTTTTGGTGAAGGTCGACTCCCCAACACACCTCCCCTCTTCAGCCCACCACCTCGTCATCATCTGGATCCACATCGCCTTAGTGCCGAAGAAATGGGGTTAGTTGCCCAGCATCCCAGTGCCTTTGACAGAGTCATGCGTTTAAACCCCATGGCAATTGAGTCGCCAGCGATGGATTTCTCCAGAAGGCTTCGAGAACTGGCAGGGAACAACTCCACCCCTCCGCCAGTCTCTCCCAATCGCAACAACCCTATGCATCGCTTGTTAAATCCTTTCCAACCAAGCCCTAAATCTCCTTTTCTGAGCACCCCACCATTGCCACCAATGCCCCCAAGCAGCACTACGCCTCCCCAGCCTCAGGCTAAAAGTAAGTCTTGTGAATTTTGCGGGAAAACGTTCAAGTTCCAGAGCAACCTCATTGTCCACCGGCGCAGTCACACAGGAGAAAAGCCCTATAAATGCCAGCTCTGTGATCATGCTTGTTCCCAAGCCAGCAAGCTAAAACGCCATATGAAAACACATATGCACAAAGCTGGGTCCATGACAGGGAGATCAGATGATGGACTGTCTGCTACAAGCTCCCCTGAGCCTGGCACAAGTGAACTTACTGGAGAGGGACTCAAGTCTAGTGAGGCAGACTTCAGGAATGAAAGTGATCCTTCTCTAGGCCATGACAATGAAGAAGAGGAGGAAGAGGAGGAGGAGGAAGAGGAGCTGGAAAATGAAAGTAGACCCGAGTCAAGCTTTAGCATGGACTCCGAATTAAGTCGTAACCGAGAGAATGGTTCCAAATCGCTGCCAGATGAAAAATCACTTGTCCTAGGAAAAGTCATAGAGAATGTAGGCCTCGGCACCATCCAGCAATACAGTGACATGCTGGCTGAAAAGCAGAAAAGGGGTGGCTTCATGAAAAGGTCTTCAGATCAACGAGATCTCTGTCCTAGAGACCTTTGTCAGAGAGACACGGGTGATGAAGACTCGGTAGCTGGAGAACTTGACCGCACTGAGGAAGGGACAGTCAACGGGAGAAACTTTGGTCCAGGTGAACCCTTCCCAGGTCTGTTCCCTCGCAAGCCAACCCCCATCACAAGTCCCAGTTTAAATAACTCGTCAAAAAGAATAAAAATAGAAAAAGATTTGGACTTGCCACCAGCAACAATAATACCTTCTGAAAATGTTTACTCACAGTGGCTGGTAGGATATGCAGCATCAAGACACTTCATGAAGGATCCTTTTCTAGGATTCACAGACTCCCGACAATCCCCCTTTGCAACTTCTTCTGAGCATTCCTCAGAGAATGGAAGCCTGCGTTTCTCCACTCCACCAGGCGATATGCTGGATGGCGGTCTCTCAGGGCGCAGCGGGACGGCGAGCGGAGGCAGCACGCCCCATATCAGTGGACCTGGACCCGGTCGACCCAGTTCAAAGGAAGGACGGCGGAGCGATACATGCGAGTACTGTGGCAAGGTCTTTAAGAACTGCAGTAACTTAACGGTGCATCGCCGGAGCCACACGGGAGAGCGGCCTTACAAATGTGAGCTCTGCAACTATGCATGTGCCCAGAGCAGTAAGCTGACGCGCCATATGAAAACACATGGCCAGATAGGGAAGGAGGTCTACCGCTGCGACATTTGCCAGATGCCCTTCAGTGTTTACAGCACCCTGGAGAAACACATGAAAAAGTGGCATGGCGAACATTTGCTGACAAATGATGTCAAAATTGAGCAGGCAGAAAGAAGCTAAGGCCCCCAATGGGTTAAAATCAGGGGTCTAGGTAACATTTAAGTTGTACAGTTTAACTATTGCCAACTGAGAATAGCTGACCTAACTTGCCTCCATAAACCTAACTTAGCATAACTATGGCAGGTGCCAAAATTTGGCACTTAAATATAACCTGTGTCTACAAAGTTCTATTAAACCTGAGGATTGGTTAAGGCAGTAAAAATTGTGAAGCCTTTTAACTGTGCAATAATTTCTGTATTTATTGGGTTATTTTGTATTTTTTTATTTTTGGCATGTGCAGGTACTTTTTTTTAATACATTTTTTCATTTTTAGATTTCTTTTACATTTTTTGTTGGGTATCCCATTTTAATTTTCCCCAGTTGTAACCTGAGATTATTTGCATTACAGGGGGAGATGCATATCAATTTAAATTATAATTTTAGAGGGCCGCTGCTTTGTTGAATCTTATGCTAAGCATGTGTAATTTCTTGTGAAGAAGCCATCATTTTAAGTAATAATTTTTTCTTTATTTTTTTCCTTTGCTTTTTTTTTAAAAAGGAAGAAAGAAAATCATTTGAAAATTAGGAAATATGACATAATACCGCGGATAACAATCTTAAAAATTGTAGCACTTTGTTTTGGATTTGGATCTGTAGCACTGAGGATGCCACTAAAAATAGAGGCCTTTATTGGAAAAAAATTTGTTTTGCATACTTCCAGAGTAGACATAAAAAGACTGAAAAAGAAATGGGCACAGGGGTTTTCGAAAGGCAGCTATATTCATAAAAGCAATAGCAAGAATTGTGCATTATTAGAGGGAATTTGTTTTGTTACTTATGACTTGTTTTCACCTTTCTACTATTTTTTAATCTTAATCAATAAAGAGAACTTGAGAGCCCTGACCAGCTGCAGCTGCAAGTGGAAAATTTAGAAAGCTCAACAGAAAGGAAACCTGACTTGTTTTTCTCAGATGTGCCAGTTACTTTGAGGCCTTGTTCACATTCAGCATTGCGCATGTGATAATTAGAATTGCCACTTCATAGTCTGAATATGTGACAACTGCTGTAATGACCATTCCATAGCAAATGCAGCCATGGACCAGTTCATGTTTTTATTGAACATTGGTTTGTCTTACAAGTGCACGTGCCTGTGTGGATGTGCACACATGCCAGTGCACAGAGACACACAGTAATGGTAAAGGATTATTTCAATTAGAATTGTCATTCTGTAAAAAAAATCTTAATGAATTAATCTGCACAGATTTGCCTAGTATTCAAACGGTGCTTTTGAAGGGGAAAAACCAGTTTCTTTTATGTTTAGATGGTATGTGTATATATTACAGCAGGTGCACATCTTAAAAGAGACATTCCATCTTGTGTGGGAATGAAGGGAAGGGCACATGCTTTGCATGCAGAAGTTCTCAGGCTCAGTCATCATCTCCAGGTGGACTGGGAGAGACCCCTGTCTGAAATTTCTCCCTAGAAAATGTTTTCCAGTCAGTACTAAGCTAGACTTGCTGGACAGCAGCTTCCCATGTTCGTAAGGGACATATGCCTCTTCTATTACCATACTTGCTTTCTGCAGTTTTTAGAAGTTGTTCTATTAAAACCATTTTAAAAATAACAATTGCCCGATTAATCATGGATGCCTTGTTCTCTACAGGCCTTTGCATACTTTCCTGGGAGTAAGCCCAGTTGAAAACAGTGTAACTCACTTCTTTGAGTGATGTTGCATATCTGTTAAAGAGAGTTTTACATTTATTAACCTAATCAATTAATTAAGGTTGCATCTATAGCACTAATACATATGATTGGTTTGGTCTGAATGTCACCCCAATATCACATCAGGCAGTTCAGTGAGAGATGATTATATTTATGCTTATTGATGCTCCAGTCAGTTATACTTGCCTAAGTACTACCTTTGCCAGATTCCCTGGATGAACTAAACTCCAGTGTACTACTCCAATACCTTTTGAACAGCAATGCCACAAAATTTTATTCCCTGGGATACATCCATGTGTCACTATTGGATGCCAACCAAGTAACCTTCCAGAATTCTCAGTTGAAATGAGCATGTGGAAGGCATATTCTTTTATGGATTGGAGCCTGCTGAACAGAAAGCAGAGCACAGGAATTGTCTGATCTCGCAAAGAGATGTAAACAGTGCAGAAATATATTGGTACCGGTGCTTCATAAACTGGTCCTTAAAGGTCTAGAGTTTGGGATAAATACTATATCACCAAATTTGAAGATGACACCAAGAGATTTACAGTAGTTTAAGCAAAAAGGAAGTGCAGAAGACTGCAAAAGGTCTATCCAAATTGGCAAACACAATTCAGAGTAACCAAAATTGGCAAGAGCAGTACAACCCAGGAGAGAAAGCCTTATTTTACATTATCTGCTGATGAGGAACTAACTTGGGCAACTTCAAGAGGGGATTAGACAAGTTCATTGAAGCTAAGGCTATCTGTGGCTACTAGTCATAATGGCTGTATGTTCATTCTTTTGTTGGAGTAGTAGACCTCTTCATACCAGATGGAAAGGAACATTATCAGTAGGCTGCTATTATACTCAATGTTTTTCTTATGGGTTTCCCCAGGCATCCAGCTGGCCCTTGGGCAAATAGAAATCTGGCCTTTGGTTTCATCCAGCACAGTTCTTCTTATGTTAGCATGTATCAAGTTTTCCTCTAATCTTACTCACATTTGGTATCCATTGTATGGGTTCCCAGTGCAGTGCATTCTGGGAAATCTCCCTTGTGCATGATTTTTTTTTAAAAAAGCCCTCTAACTGGCACCTGTTGAGAATGTTTATCTCAACCTTTTAGCTGTGAAGTGAGGCAAGAAGGGGAGCAGGACTCTTTCTGGTCACATTGTGGAGGGGAGTGTTAACCCCCCCCCCCCATGCATAGTGCATTCCAAGTAAGATTTTCCTCACCACCTGCGCATAATTAGAGGAACACTTGATAGGTTGTTGCATGCTCTGTATCCAACAAGCATCTAGTTTGGCCCTGAGTTTTTTGTAACAAAAAAATAGACTGCCACCATTTAAAAAAAAATCATGATAGGGTTCAAGGTGTCACAACATTTGTTTTTCTTTTTATACCAGCATGGCGTAAAATTAATAGCTGAATAAGGTCAGAAGTTCCCAGAAGACCATAAGATCCAATTTCCCAGCACACTTTAGCCCATCCTAGTCAACTCAGAAAACCCACATTAAAGTGTGCTACTGGCAGCATGTAAGTAAACCTCAGCATGCCTTGCAAATCGGTGACTCCAGATCTCCGAAGCCCGTGTGCCGAATAAAATCCTTTCCTCAGGCTGCGTACTCAATCCAACCCGAGCAGCAATGCCTCCTGTGCTCCAAATATTGTAGTCATACAGGATTATTTCAACCCCCTTGGAGCTTTCATCTCTCCCAGATTAATTCACAGCACAGTGGGAAAAAGCTCGCAATATGTGTGCAAGCCATTCATAAGTTTACACCCACATAGGAGGAAGGCATTAGTCCCTGTGTAGTTGTAATTGTGTGGAAGAAGGGAGTAGGTGTTACCTGATAGCTCCCTCATTGTGTCCCCTGCTGGCCTTGATTCCCTCTATCATCTCTGTGTTTGGGATCTGTAGTAAGGAGTCTGCTGTATTTGCAGAGGTCCTCCAATAATGTAGAACCCTGAATTATTGAGGGCTTCAAATCATGGAGGAGCCTGTGTGCATAGTGCCCCCTCTGTCGTCATGGTTTCCCAATAGAAGGACAATAAGAGCTAACAGGATATAGTGGCACAGTCTTCTTTCTCTCCAGATGATCATAACCACTTATACAATAACCCCTGAATAGAGTATATTTATTTTGAAATGACCCTGCTTAAGAACATCTGATTTAATAGTAAGAGTACATGGTCCCTAACTTTGCATTGCCCAATTAATAGGTTCAATATTAGTGGTTGGCAAGCCGAATGTAGTCCACCAGCAAGATAATGCTGTTCTTGATGCTTCTCTGGAGTGCAAAAACAGATTCTCAGATAATGCACAATTGTGTTATTGTAATGAAAAGAGGTAAAGATCTGCAGACCACTTCTTTTTGGAATATTTCCATTTAAATAATTGAGAAATATTGATAAAATGTCTGTTTAACATTTGGGGAGTACCGTCTTTGGAAAAGTATTAACAATGAAAGGGTATACAAATTAAGCTAAACTCTGCATTTGACATCACAGAACTTGAGGCCTGTTTTAGACAGAAGAACTCATAATTTATTGATTTAAAACATAATGAAGAGCTTTGACATTGTAAACTAATTTTACCTTTTTAAATTTCCCTGCATGCCTGCCAGTTCAGTTCCAGTTGCATTTTACGCATTTGTTAGGGTAACAGGCTGTCCTTATCTTCTTCCGTTAGGCTACATAGTCATGGAGACTCTTTCAGTGGAAATGCTGAAAAACCCTTTGAATTTTACTGAAGTTACTGGATAACTTCAGTGTTACTTCTATTTGAAACTATTGTTTGGCAGTCTTTTTCAAACTTTTGCCTTTTTCTAATAGCAAATTAACCCTGTGATGGAGACGGTGGAGTCAGTGGAAAGACCCCCATAGATCTACAGCTTACAGCATTTCTTTGGAGAAGGAATAGGCCAAATGTTGTAGATTAAAATTTAAATCTAGATTGGCTTTTCTATGATTTAGCCCCATGATTACATGCAAGATCTGAATGCTAGGAGAGTGAGAAATGCCCTTGTGACCTTTTCCCTCCTCCTAGTTCAGTGTGTGTATGTTGATTGAGCTGCAAAGTCTAAGCTGTATGCGTCTTTCCATGCTTCTTTACATATGTTGTGTTGATAATAGGTTCATGGAACAGTGGGATCTATCTTATTTCCATGAGCTTTTTGGTCTGCAGATGTATCTCTCACATGAGCATACATACTGGGACTCCATAATGGCTAAAAATCCTCCCTTTTCTAATCAGAATAGGTGCCCTCATCCAACCACCTGTCTTAATTATTTTGTTAACCTGCGATAGACATATATATATACTTACACACAGAGAGACACACACACACAAACACAGCATAATTTGAATTACCCTGATCTAGTCTATCCAGACAGTGGACAACATCGTAAAAGCTACACATTTTGATTCTGTTGACCCGCACTTTAAAACTTTTTGTTTGCATTCAAGACCAGCGGCTTCTAAACAAGAAATTACAGCATCTTTGTCTTTGCTTGGCCCAGAGGTGGGTGAAACTGTTAAAGGGGGACATCTGAGATTAAGTGTCAGTGTTGCTAAGCGTGGCATTCACAATACTGGCACTATAAAGAAAATAATAATTTATTGGACAGTTTTTCTACTGCCATTTGATTCGATGTGAGTGCCTTGAAAACTGATCTTCCTATTGAGTCTCTTGAGACAAATGCAAACATTTTTGTGAAATGAAAAGACTTTTAAAAAAAAGTAGAACAAGAAAAGTATGTTCTTAGGTTTTAAAAACAAACAAAAGAGCCACATTTACTTTAAAAAAAACCCGGTTGAAGATAGTGGACATGAAAATGCCATAAGACCCAATCAAATGAAGATGTATATCCAGCACAACTTCGGAGATCCATTTGCTGAATTGTTCTCAGCCTTTCTCTTTTTTTTCAGGACAACGCTGCTTAGGAAATGGAATGGAAATGATTTACTGCTGAATTAAAACTCAAATGACACAAATTGCAAGTTGTTATCATTGAATGAAAAAAAAATTCAGGAACAACGGCTAATTTTTTTAAAAGTTAAATTTAGTGCACTCTGTCTTAAAATACGTTTACAGTATTGAATACATACAAGGGTAAAAAAATTGTGTGTATGTGTGTTTGAGCAATCTCTCTTTTTTTTCAAAGTTTGCTTAATAGGTTATTAAAATGCCATAATGGCCATGTGTATATTGTTTTCTTTTGGTGACGGGGTTTTAGTATATATTATATATATTAAAATTTCTTGATTACTGTAAAAGTGGACCAGTATTTGTAATAATGGAGAATGCCTGGGCATTTTACAAAACCAGAAAGAAAAAAAAAACTTTTCTCTTTTTTCCTTGAAAATGTTGCAGTAAAATTTTAATGGTGGGTCTATAAATTTGTTCTTGTCACTGTAACTGTAAAGTCTGAGTTTTAGTAATTTTTTTTTCTGCCTTGGGTGTTGAATTTTTATTTCAAGAAAAATGTATAGAAACTTGTATTTGGGGATTAAAAGGTGACTGCTACACCATGTAGAAAAAGTATGTAGAAAAAATGCTTAATATTGTTATTGCTTTGCAGATTAAAAAAAAATCACATTTCTGACCTGTACCTATTTTTATCTTCCCCCGCCCCATCCCCTCTTCTGGAATGGATATTGATATTGGTTGATTCATATAATGTAGGCACTTGCTGTATTTTTACTGGAACTTGTAATTTTTTAACTGTACGCTTGTCCTTTTAAAGGGATTTAATGTACTTTTTTGTTAGTGAATTTGGAAATAAAAATAAAAACAAACAAACAGGCTGCCATAATATATTTTTTTTAATTTGGCAGGATAAAATAGTGCAAAAAAATTTGTATGTCAAGACCTTATTGTACAGAAGGAAAAATGAAAGGGTTGTTTGACGACCTGTGGGTAAGAGAAACAAAACAATTATTATTTTTTATTATTATTATTTTTTCGGGGGCGGGTATCAGGTTTGGTTTTGTTTGGATTTTTCTGTTCACAATTTTAGTTTTGTGTATGTATGTATGTATATATATTTTTTCTGTCAGAAATGGCCTACAGAAACAAAGCGCTGTTCCTACAGGGCAGTAGAAACGTTAAAGCCGCCTGGACCCCTTGTATCAAGGCCCTCCCAGGCATAGTTGAACTAGGATGGATGGCTGTCACCTGTTGTTGTTAACTGAAATTCAAGTTTTGTGAAGACGTTTGACGTAACATTCCACAGATGCCCCCTTTTTTAGACACAGGGTGGTGACCTTTCCTGGCAAATGTTCTAACCCTGCTCCTGAGTGCTTAAGATATTCAGTGCTCCTGGCTTAGATGGCGCTGACATCTGTTGAGGGAAGAAGGAGCTGTATCCTTCCACCATCCCTGAAGAGGAGATCGGCACTGTTAATGCGCTCTGTGCCGACTCTCTGAATACTCGTTCGGACCTCAGCCAGCCTGATCTGCTGCAAGGCCCTCCATTTTGTACAGCACCCTTTTGCTTGAGAGGTGTTTGATCTGGAGCCCTTGCCTGATAAGGGCACCTGTGCGTGACCACCTTGACCCCCCCCACCCCCTCACAGCTTGCAGGTGAAGCTGTTTTGCAAGGGGGGAAAATGGAAGTGCAGCATTCTATTCTGTTGGTACAACTGTGAATTGGATTAGCGTTTAAAAAAATGGTCCAGGCGCATCCCTGCTGTCCCCATCCCCCACACTGTCAGAAAGGGACCATGTACAGGTTTTGCCAATCTGTGTTCTTTTGTCTGCTTTGCTGCTGTTGACTCCTAATTGTACATTCCATAAATTTCTCCGATATTTGAAGGACTGGGATGAAATTCTGTGCCTCTAAGTTGAGTGGCCCTCTTCCGCAACAGCATTTATATTTAATTGGGAAAGGCAGGCAGGGGGAAATACTGATGTGGTGTTGCAGTGCTAGTGAAAATTTTAAGGAAATGGCTCATAAGCCAGGTATGAATTACAGGCTGTAAATATTTTTTAAAAGGAAAAATGGGGTGGGGTGAACTCACGATGGGGAGAATTCAGAATTCGCTTCTCAAGGATGAGCCCAGGAATGCAAGTAACTGCCAAAGGAAGGTTTCTGAGAGGTTGGAAAAATCTCTGGAAAGGGGGTGGGAGCTATGGGTTGCAGAGGGAGGAGCAGTTGGTGAGTATCACATTCCCAGTGAATAAATCATGGGATTTATTCCTGATGAACACAAAAGAATCTGAAAGAGCAGTTGCAGCTTTGCGTAGTGATTTTCCACAGTATTCCAGAAACTCTGCCTTCTCTTAACATGGAGTAAATCCAGAGAATCCAGTGGGGCATAGTTTTGGTCAAAATCAGGCATAGAATTTTAATCCTTAGATGTCATTTTATCCCAAACCAATTCCACTAAAGTGAATTCACATATGTGAGTACCACACTGCCTTTTTCATTTTGGATGAAGCAAGATTTCAACCACTGCCAGCCATCCTATTACATCACTTGAATTACTGTGAACCCAGTATCAGCCACTCCAAAGCACAAACATTGTGTTCAGTGAAACCACAATGCCCCCACTCCTTTTTTGCTTTTAGGAATCCTGCTTTTTTACAAGGCCGTAAGCACAATATAGCAGACATACTCTAGTTATCTCTGCTGTTATAACAATTGTTACACTGCTAAAATCAGCAAAATTAATTACATTAAGTCAGAATAATTCCATACAGCAAAGTTCTGTTTCAGTTATAATCAGTGGTTGACACATTTCTGGTGCAGCATTTTTTGGGTTTTTTTTTTCCTTTTCAAGGATCTGACACGAAAAATAAAGTTGTACCCTTTCATTGTATTTCAGCATTTCATCCTAGTCCTGATTAAATACAGTCCAAGGTTTTGTTTTTCACAGGCAAACTCATTTTATGGTGCTCTTTGTATTTTAGAACTGCAAAGCAACGTAACGTTGATTTCAGTTGTTTGCATTTGTACCAGCAAGGCAAACTATTTTTATTACCTTTTTCTATTACTTACTGTATGAGCTTTCATTGTTTACTTGGAGGTTTTGTCTTTCACAACAAGTTTGGAACTATTTATTATTGCTTGGTATTTGTGCTCCGTTGGAAAACAAAATTGGAGCACTTTTTTATGGATAAAAAATGTTGAGATGGCAGGAGGTCATTTCAATATCACTTAGTGAAATATTTATTGTTCCTTTTATTCTCTGTACAAGACTTTTGGCCTCTTTTCCCCCCTTACTGTCACACTGTTGAGTTCAGCATGTGTCTACCATTTCATTTGTACGCTCGTTCAAAACAACGTTTGTTCCAGTTTCAAGTTATTAAAAAAATAAATTGGACATTTGACTTGATCTCCAAATATTGTCTTCACTGCTTATTTGGAATTGGAAGGAGTTCGAACTAACATGAATGAAAGACTCGCATTTTGTCTATTTTTAAAAATTATCTTAGGTTTGGATTCAAGAGGAGTGGGTGGGAAATCTTGCTAGAGCCACCACTTGACCCAAAACATTGTTCGCACAAGACAGGCAGAGAGAAAGCACTATTTAGAAGAACTCACTGTTGAGTTCACTTGTCAAACTCCCTGTTTACCTGTTCTGCCCTTGCTGTTGTGCAGATGCAGTTAAAATGAAGGTTTACCATCTTAGGGCAAAGTGACCCTGAGAACAGCATCAATATGACTCCAGTAATAAGAGAATAAAGTTATCTCTTCTAATACAGGGGTGTGGATTGTTAGACTTGGGTGCTAAATCTGGCCATCCATCCTTTTGTGTTATCCCCTCCAGGCTGAAATGAACACTTAGTAAGGCTTAGTTACTGGATGTAAGAGTTTAAGCACCAAAATGTTGGGAAAGGGATTGTAGTTTTGGCCTTGTTCCTTTGCCTTGCCCGTCTTTTGCTTTTACCCTTCTCTGTCCCTGAGTGCAGTTCCTGAGAGCTCCGGAGCTGAATGTGGCTTTCAAGCTGAAATGTGATTGCCACACTACCCATGACCTGCCACTGCCAGGGGTCAGTCCCATCTTGAAGTATTATGTCGGATTCCATCTTTTGAGGCTCCATGTTTAATTTCATTTCTTAGCACCTTTGGTTATCTTACCTGCAGTAACTTCCAATAAAATTAGGAGCACCTGGGACATGGAGCAGACTGCTAGAGAGGCTTTTTGCCTCTAGCAAGAAGACCACTGAACCAAAGGAGCAACCTAAAAAAAGTCTAAGCAACTGAGCAAGAAGTGAACCGGGCTGGAATAAGAACTTGACAGGCTGAGAAATAGCAGCCCATTGGAACCTGAAGGGTGGATCACTAACCATTGCAGAAGGAACACCATGAGTTTCAGAGCAAATTCTGTACATGGTTATGCCCATTTGGCTTGATATATAAATATAGTGCCTTGACTCAAGGAGAGCGGAGACTCAGGGATCACTGATTCATACAAGTTGCCCAGAGGTCAGGAGTAGATTATTCGTGGAACATCACCCAGATGCCCTCACATACTAAGTGCTCCTGGATTCATCTGCTCTAAATGTAGCAAGAAAAAATACCAGCACATCCTTTCTGAAGAAGGTAAGATGTGAACTGGGCTTTGTTCCTGTATGAACATGCTCAAGCACCCATATGTTCTTAAAGTCTATTTCACATATGTGTAGACTTGAGATTGATTCACACAAGCATCTCATGTTTGGTGGCTCTTTGAAATCATGTGTCATGCTCCTTTTCCCGGTCACCTGCCACAAAAAGAAGGATCAGCATCACAAACCATCCGAATAGGCCGCAAACAGGAACACTACATGGTCAAGGCTATCCTGTGGGCTGGTGGAATCTGGTGCAGAGGCTGGCTGGCAGACCTTTCAGAGTCCAAAGACCTTCTCAAGATCAGGTTTCAGCAAGTGCCCCAAAATGTTTGCATTGCCAAGGTTTGCACTATCCCAACAATGCACAAACCATATCTCTGCAGTGCCCCTTACACATGTTCATACGATATGGTGAGTTTGAAAATACAATCAGGTGTGAAAATTCACCCCACAAAAAAATCCTCCCTCCCCCACACCCGACACTGCCATCTCAGATGCGCACATACATACCGAACTACTATCCAGTACCCACTTGGGTGTTTCCTCGATAAGTTACCTTGGAATTCTTATGAAAGTAAGTTACCTTGGAATTCTGCTACCTGCAACAGAGACTGGAATAGATATCCACCCCTTACTTAAAAAGCTTACCTATTGTATCAGCAGAATAAAAGATGCAATGAGGTGTCATACTTAGCAGAGGAAAGAATCACAGATGAGACATCCTCCTGTATGGCTGCGTATATGTACGCCATTAAAATAGTGTTCATGTGCTTATGCAGTCCTGGTGTTCCACTTGACAAAATTATAGAACGGCAAGTGCAAACTGGCCCTGAATTAAAGGAGGAGGCAAGCTTTTGCTCAGCCCCGTGCACCACTGTCAGCTTTGTTGTCATGTGAGAGTTTGCACATTCCTTTCATACCAGTTTTATTGAAAAAAAATCTATTCCTCCCTACAAAAGAAATTGCTATTGCAGGACAGCGTGGACATTTTGTATTCAAACTCACATGCCACAAACACGATTCTGAGAGCCGAATTCAAGCAAGAAACTGAGCCATACTTCACACTGTACATAAACAGCAAAGGTGCAATGAGAGCAAAATGTTTGCATTGCTAATAATACACACATTTGCGGACAATTTGCAAGGTAGGAAAGGTGATTTATTATGAATTATTATACCAGTACTTCTAAATTGTGACCTTTAGTCACCAAATTATACCATGTATTATGTTTTTCTGATAGATGACAGCTTATTCTGTTTTGAAAAAGATCCTATATTTTTTAGATGATAAAGGGCTTAGAATTTATATTGTGCATCCCTCAAACAAGGCAAGGTTGTTTCTTACAGTATATTCCCTGGATGTTAACTTTATGCAGATAGGGTTGAACATATTTCCACTGCACAGCAGACGTGTAAAAATGTAGGATCATTAAAAAGATGGGTGACCCTATTCTGTCCCTGACTGTTTCCTGTCGAGGAAGCAGCAATACAGGAGTCTCCTCTTGTAAAAGAAACAAAGGGCTTGGAATGAAATTGGAGCCACTGAATGAACATCTCAAAGTATCTCTAACGACGTAGAAATATGGTACAGTGTAATTTTGGACAGACAAGCACAGGATGGGTCTGTTAGGGGAGGAACAAGAAAGGAATTTACAAGATAACCATTTACTCCTTTGTAAATAATTGTTTATTTGTTTACATGGGTTTGGTGTCATGCAGTGAAGTAGGGAGATTCAAACAATTCAGAAAAAGTATTGTTTCACATAGTACTTAACTTACAGAATTAATCAAAGACAGCCTTAGCTGAGGCCCACTAGGGCTGGAGCCCTGACTCTTTCATTTGAAGCCCCAAATCTCTGGCAGGCCATCTGAAATAAAGCAAATAAAACTGATGATGCTGTAGCATTTGGTCGTGTCCCCCCCCCCCCGGATTAGCTGACTCTTTGCCAACATGTCCTTCAATTTACACTACCTGTCCCTTGAGGTTTTTTCCTGCCTGAGGTTCCCCCCACCCCTTCTCTGGCCCATATATCCCTTTTTACAAATACAGGGGTTCTCTTAGGAGACAAGACCTTTAAAACACTCTCTCTCACACACAGAACAACTCTATGTAATATGAAATTCAGCACATACAAATTGTGCTTTTGTCCCCTCCCTCACCCAACAGTGGGGGGTACCAAAAAGCTTGAACCCCTGAGCTTTTTGGTACCTAGTATGCCCCCCCATTATCACGATATACATTTTGATTTATTTCTGCTCTTATTTATACTCATAAACTACCCTTCATAAAAAGATTTCAGGCCTGTGAACAATAATTATAGCCCTCAAATTGTCATTCAGACAAAAATGCAAAACCAAGGATGTAGTATAATCATGAAACAGCCTTAAGAGGCAATTAAAGACAAGGCAGCCTGATCAGCTTAAAGTGCCTAGGTGAACTGAAGCGTTTTGACCCAATCCAAAACCAATGGCTTGGCAGTGCCAGTTGCATGCTTGTGAGCAGAATGTTCTAGAAAGACTCAGCGACCATAATGATAACAGGTGGCTTTTATGCAAATTTAATAAATATATACATAATCAAATAGGGTGCCCATGAGAAAGAAGGCTGTTCCTGACTTTGTCAGGCAACACATAGGGGGCGTCTTGCAGAAGGTAAGACTTTGGAGAGCATCGCTTCGAGGATTTGAGTCTGAAACGTCAGAAAGTTTGTTGCTTGCCCCTAGCATGCATTTTCAAAGATCTGAGGCATTCATGAAAGACCTTTCGTAGGGCCTCCACAATTAGAAGGGGTGTATCTCTGATTGCTGGATGCTCAGGGTTAACACCACGATACAGCTTTGCATCATGCACTGCCCACGAGCTTTCCAATGCACATATCCGGCCACTGCCAGGAGCACTATATAAATCAGGAACAAGGATATATTACAAAATAATGCAATGCTCAAAATAAAAGTTTAAAGGCACATAATGTGTAATGAAACATTTTAAAACAAAACAGATACTTAAGATGCAAGTTTTAGAACACAGGATCCACAAAATAATATCTTTATTATGAGACAGGATATTATTGTGAAATATTGTATTAATTTCTTTGCATTTTAAACATCTCAATTTTGTTTTTAAATATTTATGTACATGTGATAGTTGAAGTTAAAATCTATTCTTTCGTAACACACTTTATTCTTGGCTTTTCTATTGGTTCTTGGTTTTGTATGGTCAGAGATTATTTACCTTCATTTGGCTCCTGTTGCAGACTCTATGGTCAATTGATTTTCCTTGGTCAAATCCAGCAAAGTGATTGTTCCTTTGGAACAATATCTTCTTTTATTCCATAACAGAAATTCTTTGGGATCCTTTGCCTTCCCCAGCCAGCTCCTCTCCAGAGGTGTTGAGCATTCTGAGAAGGTTGATATTCGTAGTCCAACGTATCTGGGAGATGTGTTGGCCTGCACACCAGCTTCAGGAAAGCTGATAGGTCAACCAGAAGCATAGGCTAAAAGCAAAAGAGTAATTTTCTAGCATTGCGTATATTCTGTGGCCTAACAAGACATTATAGCAGGATGTATAGTGCTGTAGATGTACATCTCACATCTTTCCCCGGTAACATCAAGCAAAAAAGGTGAGTGTTGTGAAGCCATTGCAATAATCATTTCTCCTACTTCGAAAGGATCTGCCTGTGAATTTCGGCATGAAAGAGGAAATGCCGTATGTCGTATCATGTCTTACATTTCTCTCTTTC